ACTAAGCCGTTCGTAGGTTACACGACGTATCCGTTTGAGAAGCGACCGAAACGCCGACGCCGGTTCGATGGTGTCAACATATCGATATCGGAAATCCCAGCTACCTTAATTAATGATCAACAGAATTAATACATGCGATTCTATATAAACATTCCATTATTATAAACAAAATTAAACTTTCCTGACATGCAATTAAATTCGGCATGTTACACAAAATTTAACTTTGATCAATTTTGATCTATTGAGCTAGTCATTGAATTTTGAATGGTACGTACTAAAATCATACGATAATCATCAAAGTTAAAATTCTTATAACAGGACGAATTTGATTCAAAAAGCAGGGGTGCTGATCACACCATCTATTCTTGTGTTCTATATACAGCAAGTAATGAAAAATAATATTCGTTATGGGTTATCAATCTATTACTTAACCAAACCGTTGTTACATCTACTTATTATTAACTTGTAGTATTAAGCAATACGCAGGGTATTAGTATTAACATAAATTTATGCAATCGAATTGTTAGTTATTCTAATCTTGCACAAACTATTCCAGGAGTCTATGTGCACAAAAAAGAGAAATACGAGAAATTGATGTTTAGATCGACCTTTGAACATTAATAAAAAATGCTGTGAACGTGATGTTATGTATAGCAAGCGATATTTCAAAGTCTACAAAAATACCCCTAGCCTGACCTTAACATAAAGCCAACAAAGCTTATCTGGACAAGACACACTATTTGCTGCAAAGGTGTCCAGATCCTTAGTAGGGATATTAAGTACGTCCAACACTGCACACGCATTATAATAAGTATATAAAATAAAAAAAAACTAGAATGTAAGGGGCTATGCAAATACTTATTACTGTGTTGATAAGGTAAATATGAAAAAAACAAATATCAATGGAACTATCTAGTAAACATATATGAACTTAATAAGCAAATTGTCAGATAATTTGCTATTGGCATTGTTTGTCTTTTACATAAAAATCCTTTGTTTTTTAAATGATATATACACATTGATACTGTTTAGATATTTTACCTACTTTTTTACTAAAACATTATCAATGACTTCTATCACTCCACTAACAAATGAAGAATTCACTACTATATCTAACTTATGCATCCCTCTGAATATCATTTCTCTCATTTCTTCAGCTGCTTCATGTATAACATTTGGCTTGATACGAATATACTATCCTAAACTCGCAGATAGGGTTTCATTTCGTTTAAGTTTTGCGGCCTTATTTTGTGGTATAGGCTATTCTGGTCATCTTTTAATTATTCTTATTTGGAATAATATTTCCGGAATTATTTGTGGATATATGGTAAGAAATCCATTAACTTTCTTTTTAGATATCAAATAGCTTCACATTTGCTATCTTCTTTTTTTTTAATTGCTTTAATTTTTTCGAAACTTTTTATATATAAGGCTTGGGCATTGGTATTTTTCCCTCTTTCTTCTATGTTTTTCATCGTTTGTATAGCTTTGGTATGTATTATAAATAATTTTCCATATTTACATATAATTTTCCGTATTCATATATATATATTTCACTTGTCTTACTTTCTTTTATTTTAGAACCTTCATATAAGATTTATAAACGAATATAGCAATAGATATAATTTTGAAAAATATTATTTTATAACTGCATTTTCTTTTGCACTTTTACTTTCTCTTCTTCCTATTACCGCTAATATATATGGTTATGACAGTCCTGAAAGGTATGATATATTATTTTAATGCATATGCATTCCCTACAGAATAGTATTCACTCCATCATAAATTATCTGAGTTAAAGATAATATCGCGAGTTTTAATTGCCATTGTACTTTTTCTAAAGTTCATAAATATTATAAGTGTTTGAAACTCATGAATTTATTTTAAGTTAGATAATATAAGGTAGTGAAATACTTTTCTGTAAGTATGTATGTATATAAAGTATATTTATTAACGGCCAAATTTTATTTCATAAATTTATATTTATTCATATTTATTCATATTTATTAGTGTTTGTTGGTATCGTGATTCAGGTGAAGCATATAATATAATATGGCAATGGTTTACTTTTTTCGGTTGGATAAATGTATCCATATTGTACTGTGCGGCTGTTGTTATTATGGTCGTTATAAAACTCAGATCCGCGACTTCTCAATTGTCCGGTCATCCTACCTTAATTAATAAGACTTTAGTTTCTTCGATTGTAAAAAGGGTCGTGTGGTATCCTGTGGTGCCATTAGTAGCTCAATTCTTTAGCTCTTTCGTTGAAACATACGCTTATATTTATCATGTGATGTCTTATCCTTTATTTCTGATTAGCTTCATTGGCATATCAATTCAAGGTGTATATATGTCATAATCTTTTTTTTTTCTTTTTGTTTGATGATTCTTTGATTTTGTTTATCTGATATTTCACGTTTTAGGATTCCTGAATGCGTTGGTATTTTCTCAAGATATTGCTGTTATCCATGCTTTCCAAGTTGTTAAACTACAATGGTGGATCACCAATGTCAACTTTTATGAGTCTCATTATCCTCATCGATCTCACAACAAATCTGTTATAGATGAATTCGGCACGCTAGGAAAATTCAATGATTTTGTTGAATTGCAAATTCTAAATCGCAATAATTCTGATATCATTAAAATCGATATTAATGATGTTACTGATGACGATATTATTAACAACGATGTTGCTGATAATAATAGTAGTAGTGATATTAATAGTAATAATATTAATATTAATATTAATATTAATAATTTGGGTTCACAACCCTCTTTTTTAGAATGGTTAAGATATATGCTATTGATCAAACTTTTTTCGCCTCCAACAAGTTCATCCCAATTAATTTCACTTTATCTTATATCACCGATTGAATCTTTTGATGCCAATGAGCCTTCCTTGGTTGGAAAAGGTGATTCCAAGCAGGATATAACCATTAACAATCAAAATGATGATAAAGATATTCATTTAGTTTATCCTGAATCTGTTTATTTAAAAAATCATTCTCAATATTCATCATCTTCATCTGATCCTTTAATATGTAGTTCTGAAATTAATCATATTAATCAAACTAATATAAGTAATAGAAATAATATAAATAATATAAATGTAATAGGTATATCAAACCGTGATGCTAGTGATAATGAATCATCAAAAAGAATATCAGAAGAACTTCCCAAAATATTTAGTTCAGACTTCGATTTATCCCAGGAATTTAAACTGATATTAAAAAGACTATAAAATTTTTTTATTAACTTTATTTTTTCAATTAATGTAAAAAAAAATAAAATTTTTTACATTTGTAATTTAATGTTATTTAATGCTAACCACTTAAAAAATCATTTATAAATAAATACATTTACAAAATCGTTTACAAAGATATAAGTAAATAAATATATGCTATATTTTTTATATGATGAACCATAAATTTTTTTTTTTTATTATGATTCATCCAGTTGCCCAGAAAGTAACTGTTAACTAATTTTAATAAGATAATGTATTGCTGAAATAATTTTTTAATAGTAAATTCATGTTTATAACCATATTCCAAAATTTGACATGTTTGCTATATACTTACTTATTTAGTAAAAATATTTACTGCAATTAATGAAATTACAACAGTTTTGAATTGGCATTCAAATGTTTGCCAAAATTCCAACTTCCAGAAAAGGTTTGCCAATTTGGGATATGGCTAAAGATACTTAATAAAACCATTTTTGAATTGGAAAAAATTTCATCAAATTATATGGTTGATGAAGTAGTTAACCATCTTTTATTAAGTTTCTTATTTTTTTTTTAATATTAATGGTGAGACCATGCCTTTATCTTTATTGAATATTTATTTGAAATTTTTAATAAAGTATAAATTTACTATTAAAAATATTATAAAATGAGTAGAAGCTCAGACTAGTTTATCTGCAACCTAAACCAACAGAAGTAGTTAAGGCTCACCTAGATTTAGTTGTTAGTAATTATATATTAAGCTTCTTATAACTATCTCTAAATATATCTAAAGTTATTGTTATTTCATTAAAAGTTTCACCTATTCATATGAAAGCAGTAACTTTGTGAAAAAAAGGTATTAAAAAAAAAAATAAAGTAAAATTTAAATAAATCATTTTTTTAGTTTGTAATATGATAAATTGTCTTTACAAAAATTAACAATCTAATATGAAAATCAAATTTCAATTTTACATTACTTGAAATCTGAAGTCAATAATAATTGTTTGTTTCCTAAAACGTATGACAAATCGATATCTCTGGGTGATCTATAACTTCAACGAGTAATATTTGGTATATATTTTATAAAAAGAAAGGATTTTTGTCTCATGCATTATCAATCCTCATATGTTTCATTAATCGTTAATTCATTATTTAGAAATTTCTTGACATCAATCATCAATAATGAAAGTTTGGTCATTCATCAGGCATCATTAAATATAACATGTGCAAAGGCTACTGTCATTAGTGATGGGTGATTATTTATCGATTAGATTAGTATTAATAGCAATTACTTATGAGAATTGATAATAATCTCACATTTGTATCAGTGATAAAGAATTGATCTAAGATGCATATTTCTTTCTAATCGTGATATAATAATTACATAATTAAGAATTATAGTTATTGTATACAAACATCGAGAGCTTTAAAGTCTAAGTTATTATTACTTATTCGCCAAAAATTTAAATAGTATCCATTAATATTAAATGTTACAGCTGATACTGACATTCATGTAACATAATAAAAAAAATTTGTTGTCATGAACGAATATGTGTCCTAAGTTAATCGCACCTCACATTGGGAATTTTCATGCAAAATCCTGTGAGTGCCTCAACTTAGACAATTTATCATGATGGACCCTCATATTTAGTTTTAAAAAGAGTGACTTAATCATAAAGAAAAACTTTTGGTACGAAAAAGATACCAACGGCAAAGAAGGTAAATTATTGTGATATATATATATACACATATGTGTAAATAGTATGCAAATAAATAAACAAAGTCTAATTAGGAATTAGCTAAGTATATTAGTAAGGTTAGATATTATATTAATACTAGCCAGATGTTATGATAATACCTGTCATTTTAAAAATAACGTTCAATTCAGGTTCGATATCAAATTTTTAGAATTGGTTCAAGTTCAGTTCAGGTTCATGGATATTTTCAAGTTTAATAAATTAAAATAGATACTATTACTGTATTAGAACCATGACAGATATTACATAATATCTATTTACTAGGAGGACATTTTAAATTGAAATCTAGTAATATTACTTTAAAAGACTTATCCCTAGCTTTATTTATGAATTTATTCTATATTTAAATTTTAATAAACCAAAATTTAAAATCTAAGAATTTTGCCTATAAAACATCGACATTTTACTGTTAATTATAAAAATAAAGTTGAGGTAGGTAAAATAAAAAAAAATTTCATAAAAGTAATAAAAGACGCTAATTTATAAAAAAAAAAAAATTAACAGAAATTATTAAATTAATGCAAAGTTATATTTATAACACCATGTTATATAACGCCCTATTATTAAATTATATATTTATCCCAACATATAACTCCGACCAATACAAATATTGATATAGCTGTTATATAACCAGTATTATTGATATAACTTTTATAAAAATTATTTAAACATTTGTTATCAATTATTATTGTGAAGGGGCCCAAGTTCGTAAATGTACAAATTCATAAGCACATTTATTATTATCATCACAATTCCAATATATTGAAGACCAAATATCAGCCCATACGTTAATAGGTGTTTCTTTAGAAGGATAAGACCAAAAGAATGTACATTGCGAATCACTAATATACTGAAGGTCATTTAAAATATAACATTTGTGACCATTGTCATCACTAAAGGAAACGTCACCTATGTATTTTGGGTCACCTCCAGGAGTAGTAATCGTCATATTGAGGTATCCCCCAATTGCCCCCCAAGGTTGTCTTTCATTCTTAGACAGTATTTTCCAACTAGCATCTGTAATTTTAGCACCACAAGCTATGAAAAAAATATTAATTTAATTTAGTTTTAATTTTTTTTAGACAAGATTTGTGAACAATGATACTGTAGATAAAGAATTGTTTGAAAATCAACATACCAGATCTTTTCCCATCCCCACAACCGTCATTTTCAGGAGGAGGAAGCTTAGCCTCAATAATAGGACGAAATACTCTTCTCTTAATCAGTAGTTTATCAGACTGGGCAGCTGTAATTTTAGCATCACAAAATATGAAAAAAAGTTTGTTAATTTTTGGTTTAATTATTTTTTTTTTATACCCAAGATTCGTGAATGATGAAATGAAGAATTATTTGAAAATTAATATACCAGATCTTTTAGAACGAGACCCGTGAGTTTTTTCAACATGAATAAGGAAAAAAAGCACAAGCAAAGTAAATGAAATAACAAAATATTTCTGATTCATGTTGAATTGTGATTATTATAGAAAAAATATTTAAAATTTTAAGTGTCGTCCGTATATTCATTATGAGTTAAATTGTATAATTAAAATTATAATCAACTTTTTACGCGCTGTCTATGTGCTTATTTATATAATTTTTTTGCTAAAGATCTTTTCTTGTTTTATCGCAGTTTGTAAAATTAAGTGTTTTTTGAAATATATGAATATAGAAAGTCATAAATTATAAATAATAATTTACTTTCATTGAATTTTTTAACCAAGTAAAGCGATTTTTAACTAAGACGATTTCTAAGAAAAGTAATTTTACTTGATCTACAAAATTAGGGCAAAGATTCATCTTTTTTTTTTTTACAGGCAGCAATAAAAAATGCACCGATTCTTATGAAAACCTATTTACTATTCTGACCAGTTTCTGTCTAAAACTGTTCTTTTAATTAGAAATACTTTATTCCTGCCTAATTTGATTGGATATATAATATTGGCTATGATCCGGAAGATCTTAAATTACACTACTATCGCTATCATTTGAAGGTATCTTTTTGATTATCAGCTATGATCCGGAAGAACATTAATGATTGAACAGGAGAAACCCTCAATGTTACACATTAATCCTTCACACGATGTAGTTAATCAATAATAAAATTATTTATTTTGAGTTTATTCTAAAATGTATGTTATTGATATAATCCCTCATCCCGTCGTTCGCACGGGGTGAACAGTTAACCTGAAATTATTTATGCAAGCCAACATTACACAGAATTTACTATAATATATATCTGCAACTAATAAACTGCTAGTTCTAACCCTAACCATATGTGATGTCGGCTAAATGGCAGTCGAGGAAATGAGTGCATACTAAATATGTGCCGGGCATGTACTATTAAAATGGTACCTCGGTCTGTGCCTGGCACCTGCAGATCCCCAATACCAGATTACCCGAATCCATCAATTAAAATATATCGATATTATAGCTTAATTAGAATTTTGCACCTAACTCTAAGTGTATTTAATATGGGTTACTATCAACATGCTACATTCTTAATGATTTGAGTGTATACTTGATACTATAAACATTCAAATGTTAAAGATTTTGGCTATTGCTCAGACTAGAGATGAGATCTGGATATTGTGACGACGGATATTGTGATACCGAATATCGTGATCGATCACGTGAAACATACACGAAATGCAATAAGTTACATTTGTGATCGAGAACGGTATTTCGGATCCAGAAGGGTAGTATGGGAGGATGTAAGGAGAAATTACACATCCTTAAAGAAATAAAACATGGTTGGAGAAATTAAATATATCATTGTAAATAACATTTAGTAGCCTTAAAGTAATAATAAGTGCAACGTCGCATTTGTAAGCGACAAATTTTATATTATAAATAAAGGCCGAAATGGCCCTCTGAAGCAGTACGCTTCGTTTGCTTTATTAAACAATAAATCCTAATACCCTACATTGTACTTAATAAACACTAAACCCTGTACAAACCCTGTGAACCCCTAATAACGTCACTGTTCAAGCCCTTGTACACATGACTTACCCTACTTGCATTTGTTGACCCAATGTAACCGAAAGCCTTAACCGCCCACAAGCCAAATCTAACTCCCTCTTTCGAAAAGGTTACTTATCGTACGTTACGCGAGATATTGAATTGCGGAGCGACAGAGTCGCAAACTTCCGAACCGAACAATATCCGTTGTGTTAATTTTATAACAAATTTATTATGAAGAATCTGGATATCCGGATATCCGTTAAATTTTAAGTATGAAACGGATAACGGATCGCATCTCTAGCTCAGACCATTTCGCAAAAAATATGATTCAGAATTTTATTCGCTTATTAATTTTATCAACTGCATTCTTTATGGCAAATGCTTATGTTTTACAGGATGCACTGATAAAATGTATGATGCTGAACTTGAATTAACATTTGACCCTAACCCACTTGTCTTTGGACAACCCATCACGGTTACTGTTTCTATTGATTTTAGTCAAGATATTACAGAAAAAACAATATTTATATTAAATTATTAGAACGTGATCTTGATAATAAACCTGTTGAATAATGCGAATATAAACAGAAAATTTGTATTGGAAACGAAGCTTTGTGTCCAATCTCAGTTGGAGAAATAGTTAAAGTGACTGCAAGTTTTACAATGCTGAATGATATTAATATTAATATTCTTATAATGTTAGCCTATATTGGAACACCAAGAGACTCAGATGGTTTTGTAGAAGCTTTTGGCTGTCAATGTCATTCAAGAAATTCTGTTTATTGTGCCGATTTATCGCACGGATCTTAAAAGTAATTTACTGTATTGTATCTGTAATTTAGAAGTTAAATAAATAAATAAGTACAAGATACTACTATTCAATAGGGTTGTTAACGGAGTGCTCCAGACTATAATAAACATATAACCCATTTCTGGAGTGCTCTGGAGTGGGATATCTGGTTTATTATGCCTTTTAACAACCCTACTATTCAATGACTACTATTGAGAATTTAACCATTTCTGATAAAAAAATATAATCCATCTGATACAGTATCTGATTTAAGTAATAATAATAATAAAGAGCCTTTTAAACTTGCAAGTACTATTATTTTGTTATCTTAGACAAATATTAGAAAAACTTATCAGTTTAGAGTTTTATGGTCTTAACCCAGAGTCCTGACACTCAAAATCCCGACAATACTAAAACCCGGACACCCAAAATCCTGACACCAAAATCCCATCACTTCCAAAATCTCGACATACTAAAATCCCGAACTCCTCAAACATATCCACCCAAATCAGTTCCATAAAAAATACAATTTATACTCAGCGTTATATGAATTTTCATTTGATTTTATTGACATGAGGGACTGTTAATTTAAAAACTGGTGATGAATTATATTACATTGACTATAAAGTTGAGTTCAACATAAATAATTCTATTTAATTGATCATGTAACTGATTTTGGGAAATACTTATTTCTGCAAGTGATACAAACCACGTACGTGCTAATAGTAAAAATTCGTTTACGTCGCCCTCAAAAAATGGTAGCCGGACAGATCTGCCGGGTACATGTTATTATGTGATTCGGATTTGATTATTAGCAATTATGATTACAAATCAAAAAAAGTTTGTGTATTTGTAAAATTCATTATCATTACGACTGTGTACTTGTAAAATTCACTATCATTACCACTGTGTACTTGTAAAATTCATTATCATTACTATACAATAACGAATAAAAATTTTTTTCTTCTACCATCGTTACTGCTGTACTGTTATTGCTTAAAATTTTTATGGATTTTGCTTATAGTTTTATACTACTTTATATTTATTTGAATTTTTTTTCTTTGATTATTAGCACATTAAATCAGCAAATTTTTTTTTTATACTGATAAGTTCATTTACTATGTCAGATCAACAACCCAAATCCTGCACAGGATTCATGCTATTCAAATAATGAAGATTATTGGAATGAAAAAAGATCAAAGTAAAAAAATTTTACAATGCGTAACCAAATTAAATTATCGGTTCAAGAACAAACTGGCACAACAATTATAAAATTTTATCTTGCAAAAAATATTATCTAAAGCTCAAATTTTTTAGAATGATAGTAATAATGAAATAAATATGACAGTTTGTTTTCTAACATCTTGAATATTTTTTGGTAATTTAAATAAATTACCATCCATTATAATTAGAGATGGGAAAATCGAGGTTTTTTTGAATCTACTGCACAGCCTCAGTCCCTAGAGACTTTTACTCATTAGATTTCGCGTTTATATATATAAAACATCTACTTCATATGTGTAAAGTTGGGCTTCCATCATTTTTAATTAATGCTCCAAGGTTAGTTTAAACGTCAGTTTTTGTTGTTTTGCGTTTTTTTCAGCATATCGGTGAATTGATAATTCTGGTCAAATTTGCAGATCATTTGGCCAGATCTAGAACAAAACAACTTTAAATGTGGTCAAATGATCTGCAAGTTTGACCAGAATTATGAATGATGGATTCTATTAATCAGGTGATGCAGATCCGTTTTTCTTTCGGGCCGATCCGAACAGATTTCCAATTGGTAATTCAAACCTGGATTATAAAGCTGGCCAGAATTACGAAAATTGCATTACATATCCTCAAAAAATGACAGCGCAGTGTTCAATATCTAATTATAACCTTTGGATCATTGGATAAGTCTCATAAACGCTTTTTATAGTACTAAATGAAGCCCTTCTTTTGAAATTATTAACTTATTGGTCCAAAATAGAAATAAAAAACAAATTCTTGTAAAAAAATTGAATTTGCCTACAAATATAACCAAAAGAAAACGTATAATCAATAAAATTTTAAGCGATTCATGTTATTCATTAAAAAAATTCTTATGAAAAACTTAGAGACCATATTTATTGTTTGATAACAATTCATAAATACACTAAGGACATTTTCTGATTAGTAAATGAATTATTCATAATCAAATCCGAATCACATACTAACATGTACCCAGCAGATCTGTCCGGCTACCATTTTTTGAGAGCAACGCTAGGGTCGTTATGTTATTTTGCTAAAAGCACGTGTAATTCTGATTAGCGTTAGGGTTAGGGTTAAGGTTGGTATAAGAAGCATAGTATACGTAGTAAATTTTTGTTAGGGATTTTTTTGTTAGGTGATTTCTTAGTCTTCGGTTTAACATTACACAAAAATTGCATCTGATCTTGCGATCTACTTAGAAATTTTCCTTTTTGGATTTGTATCACTTGCAGAAATAAGTGTACGCTGTTATCGTAAAACGGCGAGTCAGTCGCTAATCGGTCGGATTTCTCGTGTAACCATCTGGGAAGGATAATTCCGGTCGAAAAAGGCGTGTTAGATTTTGCGAGTGGTTTACTGGGTACTAGTCGGGTTCTACTATCTTAAGGAGGATTTCGGGCTTAGTGATCCTGAAAAACCCATTCATCTATTTATCTATTTGATATCCAGATTTGGATATCCATTTTGCTATTGATATCCGGATAATTATCCGGACAATTATCCGGTTTATCCGAATAATTATCCGGGTTATCCGGGTAATTATCCGATTTATCCGGTTTATCCGGATAATTATCCGATTTTTCCGGTTTATCCGGATATCAATAGTAAATGGATATCTGGATAAAGGGCGAAAGTCAGGAAATACTTTTAATGATTTATTATGATTGGTTACGGGTTTTCACTCTCATGCACTCATATGGATAAATGGATGACGGATTATCCGGATTGGAGCCATATTCTGTCTATTCGGGCTGGTTCGTGTTGATTTCTTTGTTGATTGGCCAATCAACAAATTTAGTCACATGATAGGAAAATCGATTAGTTGCAACTAATAGTTGGCAACTAATCGATTGGAAAAAATTTTACCAACTCAGAACACTAGTTTCGGGTTGGTTATCGGTAACGTGTGCTGGTGTATTTTTATGTAATTTACAAGTTCGGGACTAGGGATTGGAATCGATTATCGAAAATCAGTTATTTTAAAATCGTTTTTAATAATCGATTTTGAAACTAAACATCGATTAATCAGTTATGTTTATTGATTTTGTAATTAAAATCGATTTGGTAAAGTAATCGATTTTAAAAATAAATCAATTTTAATTTAATAATTAATACAATTCAGATATTATTTATTGTAATATATTTATTAAATTTAATTTATAAAAATTTAAAAAAATAAACATTTAAGAATTAGAAAAAAATTTAAAATCAAAAATCTATTTTTTTTTTTTAACCTTAGGCAGTCATGCTAGTACTTTATTAATACTCTAGTAATTACTACAATTACATCGATATTTAACAACTAAGTTAGCATTACCTGGCTATCCTAATAATACCTAAGTGCAGACCTGTCGCATTACTTCAAGCAGAAGTAAATCGCTCATCAGACTACTTAAAGTCCATAATGAAAGGGTCTTCCCCTTTTCATGACAAGCTCCAATATTGTCTTTCTAGCTTCATCTTTGATTCATTTTTTCCTCTCTTTTAATTATCGAGCAAGAGGATTCTATAATCCTTGCTTAAAGAACAACAAGATATACTAAAGAAAAAACTAAAAGGGAGTAAAGAAAAAAAAAGGGGGAACTAACTACAAAACCTAAATGTAAACCAAAAGAAAAAAGAAAAAGATAACAAAAGAAGAACAAAGAAAAAACAAAAAACATGAAAGCATTATTTTTGCCTGTGTCAGGTTTTAAAAATTCTATATAATACTAAATAAAGAATACCCCATATTTGCTTTATCTTCATATTATAATATATTCCATTTATCATATGAGGAGAATGGTCGAAGTTTTTATTTTCCTCTTGAGTTTGACATATGTTGTCCATCATAGGTCCGATACTTGTTTTATGGTTTTCTCATGACTAATGTTACTGATTTAGAAAGGTAAACAATGTCGATCCTTTGGAGAGGTACACCAGATTTCCCACTTTTTGATAAAAATTCTAAAAAAAAAAATCCAGTAGTAAGAGCAGAAAGAAGAGCCAACTTGAAAAGGAGTTGTAAGAGTTATGCTATATAGAATATTATATTAAACCAAGTAACTATTTAGGCCTAAGCCCTTATAGCACTTGACAAAGCTTCAGAGCTTATTTACTACTTCTTTCTTAGTAGTACTTCTGTTTTACTAAGGAACTTCATTTACAAGAGTTTGAATCTTTTTCAACTCTTTTTAGTTACAACCAAACATGCAGTAAATAGCCTTCCTAGTTATCTAAAGTAGAATTTTGTTATATTTAAATATAATAACTATATAGTTTTCATAGGTCAGATTTTGTAAAAAAGTTGGTGCAAAGGATCATTGAAAAGAGTTAATGATATTTATATGAAAATTAAATTATTATTTAATATATTATATTATATATTATATTATTATTTATATTTTATTATTTTTATATATTATTTATATATTATATTATTATTTATATTTAATTTAGAGAGCTACTATTTTCACCATAGTTTTTTACTATTTTTACCATGGTTTTTTACTATTTTCACCATGGTTTTTTAAAATTCTACCATGATTACACAAGATTTTCTAGTTTTAGTTTTTATAACAATAATACATATAAACCCTTTAAACTTTAATATAAAATTTTTTTATTAACCCTAACCCTAAAATCTAATAAGTTAAGGTTTCTTGAACTTCTAATTAAAGTTGTAAAGCTTGTTTTTCTGATTCTAATTATAATTAAATTATTAAAATTAACCTAGTAGATCTTAATATATTGGGAATCAAAGAAGAAAGCAAAAAGATCTACAAATTGTCAGTTACACAAAATT